AGCGTCGTTTGAAAATCTCTGAAAGGGATTAAACTGTGTTGAAACTAATTTTAAATGAAAACTGAGAGAGGGACTGTCCACTATATTGTATTTGTTTTTATTTCATTGTTATTACAGCACACTAATTTAATTAAATATTAATACAATTTTGAATACAATTTACTAATAAGATCATACATTCATATGATCTTATTTATAAATTAAGTATGTTTCTTGTGAGAAATAATCTGAGAAATAATGTTACAAAATACAACCACAATTTGTTTGGATATTAAAAAATTTCTCTTATCTTTATACAGTTTTTAAACGGTCGTGCTTTAATCTGTTTATATTGAATTTACCTATAGTTTAACTAACCTGCAATATAATAGTAATATAAAAAAAAACTTTTATGATATTAGGAATTTTTTTTTTATATTAAAATTAAAAACCAAAATTTAAATAACTTGGATTTAAAGGAATATTCACTCATTAAGAATATTTACGATAACATTCCGATAGCAAAATATCAAATAATATATATCGTGTCAACTATACAGAGGAGAAATAGTTTAAGGATCTTATTCAACATCAAAAGAAATTTAAGATTCAGTAAATATTTCGGTATTGTATGTGTGTGTGTGTATGAGATTTATGAATTAATTCATTAAGAGATTGCCGAGTTTTTTGTAGCAACTTGCGCCGAATAAGAAAGAGATGCCTGTCGTTTCCAGAGACAACAATACTTTGAAAAGGGCAACGGCAAAAACCTGAGTCAGTTTGAACTATGCGACTTAGCGAAACGACGATGGATACAAGGGTGGCAAGCGGGAGATGTAATGGAATATGTTTTGTCAGAAAGAGAGAAAGAGAGCCTGTCTCGGAAACATCCGCGCTCTTAACGTCCAGAACGCAGCCTTTTGTTTTTACGCACATCCCCCCTCCTCCCCCCTTCCCACACACACACACTGGAAATATATATCAGATTATATGAACTTTTAAAAGGAAAATTATGGCGTATAATAATGACAGTTATAACAATGGGAAAACAATACATGAGACTGAATAAAAAAAGATAAACTTGTATTATCCAGATAATCACATTCTTTGCAAGTAAATGAAAAAAGAGCCAGCACGGAATTGCTATAGACACAGCATGTATTTTCTGTAATCAAGTTGTGTGTACTAAAGTTACATTTATTATATTGTAGCTGGGGGGAATCCGAGAAGTAAGCGAAATATCTGAATAAACTTTAAGTGCACATTCATTTGAGGAATACGCGAAATATCTTACAATCTTCGTGTTGTGAGTAAAACATCAGAAGCTTATAGCGGAAGAGAGAAGCTCGATGTGACAGATATATTCTCTCGGCAGTTAACGCCGACCATAGGAATGTTGTGACAGGAAATACATCTGATAGATTTCTTTAATCCGGGTTATATATTATTTCTATCCTCTTCCCGAACTGACAAGATCGAAGTGGATTGCGAGTACTTCGGTGTACCTCCTTCGGCCATTTTATAATTGTGATTGGGGAACGGAAAAGCTTTCGCGTCATAAATCCTTAACGCGAACGCTTGAATACCGTTCATTCGTTACGTCCATCAAATATTGATCAATCGGGATTTTATACGGGTCACGATAACGCTCACGACTAGAATACTATCGGTGATTTTCTAACTAGGGATCATTCGATGTATCTATAATTTCACACAAACTAACTCGCTATAATATGCATGCATTAGAAATTGAATACAAAAAGGATCAACAATATCCATAAAAATTAATTAAAAAATTAATTTATATACGATTATTATACAAAAACAAAAAGCTGCAAAGAGAGAATTTAATGACATTCGGCACAAAAAATATTATTCTATTTTTCCTGCCAAAAAGTGATATTCGCTTTGGCGCTTCTCACGAAGCATCGAGGTCAAGTATCGAATTAAATTGTAATTCATTTTTCGTTTATACAAAAAATTTGTTTGCATAATAATTTTTATTTTTCAAGACAGATTAAACTGCACACAATTTCGTTTCTTTTTTTTGGAATTTAAAAATAATTCGCGGTAAAATTTAATGTGGACTTTTTCTCGAAACATCTTGCGGACTAAGAATTTCCTTAAATTTAAAATTAACGACGTTCCATGTTGGATTCTTTTTGTTTCGCGAGCGCGTTTTACTACGGATGCGTTTTTACATTTTTCCTTCGTTTTAATGTCTGCGCTATGTATTGTGTATATACAGAATACGCTGTACATAATGACGGTGGAAGTAAATAGTCGCGGTAAGAGGGAACGAAGATGGAGAACATAATGCAATCTTGCCTCATTCGTCCCCTGTTAACCGCGCACTCATTTAGATAAGCCCGATATTTTGGCGTGCAAAAACTTGCGCGGCTAATCTTGGCGCTTCTTATCTCAAGGGTTCACGCAAAGGCTTACAGAATAGCCATCTTATAATGAATATTCATCTTTAAGATTTGAAACATATCCGCAATCGTGCTAATCTTAACTATGCTTCAGATAATCGACTTTGTTAGTGGTTGCTAACCCGCTGTTGCGTATGTAATTATTTATCTTCATGTCCTGACTATAATCATTCCATATTCAAGTTGCTAAAAGAATAATCAAATTAGAGAAGTGCTTAGAAGTCATATACTAAATTGTACGTTCATTTATGTGAGTATAATATCTAACAAATTGTTTTCTTATATCAATGATATCTCGTTATATTATTCCTATATTCCTATTATTCTAGTAAAATTTAAGCTAATGAATCACACGTGATCAGATACAATATTCTTCCCATGAATTTGTTATTATACTATAAATAAATATAGATTTTTTGTGATACGCATAAAATTTAATGAGTTTGAAATATGCGACATAAAAGAAGGTTCAATGACTCACCACGTCGATGATTTGCTGCAGAGTGATGCCAAACTTCACCTCCAGCGGTTCGCTCTCATTCGCGACCGGCCGCTCCAAGGTGTTGTAATTTGCCAGCAGGTGATTCAATAAGCGTTTCTCGTGGCGCCCGCAAAGGCTCTCTGCGACAAAGAATGAAAAAAAATCGAATGTCAGTCAGAGCTCTCTCTGCGTTATTCCGGAGGGTGTGAGCTACAAATAATAGCGACCCTTGTCAAAGCGTATTTACGAAGAGATATGAGGGGAAAGATTCTCGCTGCGCGTTGACAACAGGTTTTTTTCTCGGAAAAAAAACATAACAGGAGGCGATTTAATTATTCCTAATACAACAGACAGGATAAATAATGCCCGAAACATTTTTTTGCTCTTTGTGTCCATTCTTAAGTTGTTGACAGTTTGCGTGAAAAAGCAATTATTCATGGAGCTCTTGATGCTGATAGAAACTATACGTGCACTTTTCTTGTCCGTTTTAATAGTTGTTCATAAATCGGATTAAAATTAATTCATTACAATGATAGGTATATCGCGACATACATATTTCATAATACTATTATAATTAATCAACCCTCCTTCCCGCCAGCTTACATTGATTTACATTAAATCACTTTTGTGATATTTCGCCATAAAAAAGATTCCATACATTTTCTCGCCAATAAATATATTAGATATACTTCGAATAATAATAATCGCTAAAAATACGTAATTATTCATTTTTATTAAAAATATTTATGTATTGTATAATATGTTACATTATTATGCATGCATGTAATTATATATGGAATATGAAATACAATAAGCTGTTGTCAAATACTGCGCGTCATAAACACGAGATAACCGCGCATATAAAGATACGTACAATATTCCACACATCTATATTGCTTTAAGGGCTAATCTCTCATTCCGTCTTTCACCGAAAAGCGTAGTAATTTACTTACGATCTTGTCTTCGCACTTGTTCATCGACACGACTGATACCTGATTGATATTTGAAAACCTCATATACCCGTGCGTGTTTTACTTTTTGCCAATACGCTGTATGAATACGTAAACAAATAAAGGAGATGTTTATATTGTCGTATATGGATGTGTACTTTATTTTGAACAAAAATATTTCGACTGTGTTTCACGTTAAAATAAAATATGAAATATAACAATATACAAAATATATATATATATGTAAAGGAAAATATACAAAAAGGAAATATTTTCGTTATTTTACGTACATTCAGATAATATCTTTTATTTCTTAAGAGAGAAATGTCCAGAGTATTTAATTTTAACTTTAACTTAATTTTTTTTTTGTTCACCATTACCTTGCAAAATTACGTTCTCTATAACTGCTTACAATCGATCATTTATTGGTAACCCTAATGCACTGGACGGGCGGATTAATGCATTCTGGCGATTATAAAGTTGGCGAGCTCACAACTTGCATAAACGTCGGTGGAGAGTTCGGCATATAGAAACTCGGAAGCCGTCCGAAGTCGCACTTGGTCCACTTCAGTTCAGATCTATCGCAACTGAACGACAACCGAGTAAACTACTTTAATCCTTCGACAAATCCCGACGTGAGAGCGCATTCTCTATCCGACTCGGACCAAATTGTATTCCAGCACGTGTTGCTGCGGGATCAAGTTTGGATTTCGGGGCGATGTGCGTCGCCGCCGCTGTTGCCGAATACGAAATGCAACAGGATTGTGTCCGCATAGGGAGAATAATGGACGTCGGCCGAATTCGGTGCACGTGCGCCCATTGAGAACAAGCCGAGGTATCGTGGAGTCGCGACAAATATACCGTACGCCGTGAAATATCTACCGTCGCGCGGGACACACACCGGTCTTTCCGATCCGAATATTTCGCGATCGTCCCGATTCCCTCTTCGTCTTCTCTCCACGGGGACATTAATATTCCATGTTCGAGCGGTGTCGAGATATGAGGGTCGAAACTTTCTTGCAAAATTCATCGCTTCATGGTATCAATCATATTGCGAATTCAGTCGACCGATAATCACGTATTTGATTTGTCTGAAACTCCAGATCGTTTAAGCTGACAAGATAATATTATGCGTCCAAATAATATTAATGCGATATATTTTGTTTACGTGGAGTCCAAGTTTTATGATATGCATAATGTATTTTCCTACTGATCAAGTTACCGTTAGGCATTTAACGATTGTATATTTAAAATAAAACAATTTTTCTATCTCATTTTTTCTCTAAAATGGATAATAATTAGAAAAAAGACACGAAAGATCAAATTTTATTACAAATCAGAAAAATCGTATATACTTTAACATAGAAATTTAAATCACTAATTATTTACGCCCACTTTTACACCTACGAGTTAGTAATTTTCAAGCGAGCGTTATATACATAGAATATTCCCGGATCACAAAAATGAAATTAATGTTATCAGATTAGTCAAACGTATAACGCACATATCAATCCGACGTTTCTAGTTTATACACTACGGACATATCGCGCGGGCGTTGATTAATCACAAATTTTGCAATGTAGGACGCATGACGCACATTTGACTACAACGTGCATCGTGTAAACAAGCCGAATTATTAGGACTGCAATTAATTATGCGGCTTAAAAAGTAATTTACGGTCGCATTCCTCAGTGGTACAGTCTGATGAACGATTTATCGGATGCCCACTAGGAGAACAGAAAAATAAATCAAAACCCCGTTTAATTAGCCACTTCGACAGTAACGAGCGCAAATTTGTGATTACAAAATGCCGTCGCGTAAAATATGATAAAATACTCGGCAATGCGTTATCGGCCAATTTTCGCTTCGAAAGGCAGCGCCGCCGCGCGCTCAGGGATATTAATGAATTGAAAAAATCGATAGCATCGCCAAAGGACGGATAAGCGTGAATCCCTTTTAGCGATCCCTCGCACGGAAATAATACGGTTCGAGACTTGAACTTCTTGAATGAGCGACGGCGGAGCGTAGCAGCAATAAGCGACTCCGTCGAATCGTGCAGCGGCCATTTGGCCGAGTGCTGGAAGACGATGGCAGTAATTAATGAGGCATACGTAAAACCGGAGTGGAACTTGGGGAAAACTAACAAGCGGGGCACGTGCGTCGCAATTCTCGTGTGCACCGCAACTTGTATTAATGGATTTTCCAAGGATGAAGAAGCTAGAACCGTAGAACGTCTTGTAACTAATACATTACATACATGTATTTACTTTAATGTGGATAAAAAATAAATGATCGAGATGTCCTTGTGTAATATTTAACACGAGAGCTCTATTTCAGAGCGAACAATTTAATTAAATCGAAAATTGTGATAAAGAATTATTAATCTGACAAAACTGAATAAATAATATATAGCGATTCTTTTTTATTCGTTCTAACATGCTCGAAAAAGACCATATCAGCTACTATATGGGTAATGAAAAGTGATAGTTAGAATGTTATACGTGCTATTTCTCATTTTGCTGTTATATCTCGCAAGTTCATGCAGCACTTTATTCTTCTTTTACCTTGTTCTATCTTACGTACATCCGCATATGATCTACCATTTGCATATAATTTAATGGATCGCGCACATATATCTCACGAAAGCATGTAATGAGCATGAATCTCACATTTCGAATGATAGTTTCACAACTTTCTCACGTATTTTCGCGTTACTCCCGATAAAGTTCCGTTATAGCTTACGATAGTTCATTCGGTGGGTATTAAACTGTTTTATCGCTTGAATTAAACTGTGCTAGTCAAATTGTTAACGGTGAGGGATGTGTTGAGAACAACCGAAGAGCATAAAGTACGAACCATATAGGCAGGATTATCTCTCGTACCTGCTAATAAGTTCCTAAAAATCAACATCAACCTGAGAAAATGCGCTTTGCAAATGAGCGGAACAGACTCAATCTCGATGTATGTGCCGTCATTTAATTTCCGAAAATTAGCGAATCGGATTAATGAGGAAATTTTCGACGAGAAGTTGCAAATTATATATACCATAAAGTAATTGTTACTTGATGCGTAATATTTTCGAGTTTCTCTCGCGTAAATTATTATAGGTTTATCTCTATTTCTTTTTTTTCTATCAAATATGGAAACAAATTTACATACAGTTATATTCTGATCTAAATTAGAATCTCCGAATTAGCAGTCCGTGCGAGAGATTATATAATACAAATTAGATAACACAATTAAAAAAGAAGAAAGAGAAAGTTTGGCAAAAGCGCAGAATAAAATATTTCAATTGTTTAACAATTGGTACATGTTTCTCAGACATGAAATGCAACAAAAAAGAGAAAAGAAAGAAAGAAGGAGAGACAACAATGCTAGTTTGTAAGAAAGTTTGTCACTTTTGTTGACTTAACTATTATGAAGTACTATCGTAGATGTCGAGTTCAACAAGGACCTACCTGAAGGTTTAAGTTTGACAGTTTAAGTCACTATAAAAGAAAACGGGGTGCATAGCCGAATATACATAGGCAATGATAATCAGTTATTGAAGAAATTATGCGAGCATACATATACTACTTGCTGTTGAAAACTTCTTGAAAACTTTCTTTATGCGCGAAATTAGTTTTTTATATTTCATCATTTCAAAAGGCGCGAGAAATGAGAAATTTCATCAAAAGTGGCAAGTACATGGCTTTTTGCCACAGCGGAAGATGCTATTACCAGGCCGAGAATGGGCCTTTTAATGGAACCTCACAAAAGATTTACAGAGAAAGGTGGTTTTATTTGACCGCCTACGTCGATTTAGATTAATGAGACCGAGTTGCGGCATAAATCGAAGGAAAAACAAGAATTCAGTAGAAAAGGGAGTGTAGCCTAAATATATATATAATTAAAGTATGTCTTATATGGACTGTAGCATAATGGCAATTTCATCAAAATACGAGTCGATATGAATGGATAATCAGATTCTTTTCATCGCTTCAACATCACTACCGCCGTTAACGAAGTCTTACAGAAAGTATCGCTATAGACAACAGTCTTTATAAGAACTGATCATATGCCTATCTACGCGTGTGTATAATCGACACATGTGTGCGGGATTGAGATATTTTTCTTCCTACGTCACTGCTGACGACATGCGACAATGTAAAAATACCGATTGCAATAAAGAATGAACGACTGCTACACAA